GAGTATCAGCCATACCTCCCTGGCATAGTCACACTGATCAAATAGATGTTCAGGTGTTTTAACAGTCTTCTTACATAGCAAACACGATTCATTTTCAATAGCCACACCCAAGTGCCTGAGTCTCTGCTTAGTCTACACCCTGTGCTGCCAACACAACCATATCACAAAGCAATGTTTGAGAACAGTAACTGAATTCCGAATCACATCTGCAATTTTCTGCAGTGGATTTCGACCTTTGTGCCACTTAAACCCAGAAGGTATTGTGTACTTGCCATTTCTCTGCCCTTGCCATCTTCCATGCTGAAAACCAGCTCTGAATTTATCCCTAATCATTAAAACCTTCTTCCAGTGCCAGCTTGAATTGCTCACAGCTTCCACCTCCCAGAAGCCTTTCCTCTTTAAATAGACTCCATGAATCCATCTAATCCAAAGGTTATCCTTCTTATGGGTTAACTCCCACACCTGTCTACCCACAGCTGCCACATTCCACTTCATAACATCCCTGATACCCAACCCGCCTGCCCTTTTTGGTAGACACACCTTTTGCCAAGCCACCAGTGGGAATGACCTCCCAGATTCCTTCTTTCCCCAAAGGAACTCCCGGCACATCCTCTCAATTTGCTACAATACACTTTTTGGGATGAGATATACTAATGCCCAATAAGTTTGCATGTGCAGCAAGACTGAATTGATCAACTGAACCCTCCCCATATACGACAGATGCCGTGTTGCCCAACTTTTCAACCTAATGGTCATTTTATCCACTAAGTTTTGACAATCATTCTGAGTTCACGCACAGGGGGAGATTGGGAACCCTGGATTATTGCATTGGGAACTTCCCTCTTTCAAACCCAACAATACTTTCTATTCTAGCTCTTATCTCCTCCAAGACACCTCCTACATAAACCTGAGATTTTTTCAGGTTAGCATTCAGGCATGTTGTTCTACTAAATTCCACGAGTTTCCCCATTACATTCCGTACAGTCTGTTCCTCAGCTTTGCAGACTATGATGAGATCATCTGCAAAGCAAAGGTTTACTATCTTCTCCTCTTCACATTGAGGATGAAACTGAATACTACCCTTTTCAATTTCCTCTCCAAATAATCTGGTAAGGTATTCCATGACCACCACAAATAATTGTGGCGAGACAGGATCCCCCTGCCTAATGCCCCTTTTACCCCGAAAATAACCTACCAGATTGCCATTCAGATTCAAAGAATACGAGCATGTAGTTACACATTGCATAACCCATTCTATAAATTTTCCCGGGAATCCAAGCCCTTCCAGTGCCTGATACAGAAATTCCTAGTTAATGCTATCATAAGCTTTCCATAAGTCTACTTTCAAAAAATAGCTAGGAGTTACTGCTTTCCTCCTATATAATCTAACAAACTCTTGTGTAAGCAGAACATTATGCATAAATGATCTCCCTTCAACAAAGGCACTTTGGTTTTGGTAAATTATGTTCGGGAGTACTATTTTTTATCTATTACTCAGAATTTTTGTAATACACTTATAAATGGTATTACAACATGAGATAGGCCTAAATTCACTAGAATCCTTTGGTGATAAACACTTGGGGATAAGTGAAATTAGGGTACTATTTACCTGAGTAAGTAAACGCCTTTGCTCCTCAAACTCCTTTATAGCTGCAATGATATCGGGTCCAACAATCTCCCAGCATGACCTAAAGAACCCACTGCCATAGCCATCAGGTCCAGGGCTTTTACTAGGATGGATATCAAACATTGCTTTCTTGATTTCCACACTAGTAAAAGCCTTAGAGAGCTTAACCTGATCTGCCAGTGAGACTTTTGGGCCTTGATAAAAAACCTGCTTCCTAGTATGCTGCCTCTCCACTTCCATGCCCAACAGGTCCTGATAAAATTGAATAAAATGTTGTTCCACTCTATTCCAATTTTCCACTACTTCCCCATCATCTGCCAGGTATGAAATAATACGATTCCTAGCCTTTTTTTGCTTTCATCATAGCATGAAAATAGGAAGCATTCTCATCTCCTTGCTTGCACCATATTTCTTTAAGCTTTTGCTCTCTGAAACTGAGGACAACTTTCCCATATGACACATATAACTGCCTAATACTCCTTTCCTCCTCCTGTAACTCCTCATCAAACGGCCTCTCATGTAACAGCTTCAGTACAAATTCTAGTCGATGTTGTGCCTATTGGTATCTTGCTTCCACATTGCTGAATTTCCTCCTGTTAAGCTCCCTCAAGGGAACCTTCATCAATTTGAGCTGTCTCACCACCTGGGATTGCTTGGTTCCTGCAATTTCCATACTCCAATATTTCTTTACTCTTTTTTGAAACTCATCATCCTCTATCCACATGTTATAGAATTTAAATGCTCTTCTGCCATTGACACCCTTATGCTCCCATCTAAGAATTAGAGGACATGGTCCGAGATGATTTCCTGGAGCACATTCACCATTGCTTCACTATACTCAACCATCCATTCGTCTTAGCCCAACATTCGATCTGGTTTGCAACATATTCTATTTGCTCTAGCCTGCCTATTTGACCAGGTAAATTGAGCTCCTTGTGATCTAATCTTATACAGTTTGCACGTATCAAGCATCATTTGAAACTCTTCCATTTCATGTCTCTTAAAAGGAATACCCCCCAACCTCTCATCCTCTGCCAAGATACAATTGAAATCACCACCTACTAACCAAGGTTTTCCATTATCCTGGACTTGCATAAGATCCAGCCATAAAAATGATCTTTCCTTTTGCTTGTTTTTCGCGTACACTACTGTCAGCTGAAACTCCCTCCTACCAATCTTATTTTTCACCCAACAGTGAATAAATTGTTCTTTGATTTCCTGCACAGTCATTTCATATTCTCCTTTTCTCCATAATACTAATATTCTACCTTTCTGGTTCATGTGAGCATTTTCGACATATTCATATTCCTTCCACCACCATCCCATCATCTCTTCGCTCTTTTCTATACTTAATTTTGTCTCTATAACCCCCACAATTGCTATACCATGAGATTTAATAAGGTTGCTTAACTCTTGATGTTTCAGAGGATGATTGAATCCTCTGATATTCCACATAAGAATATTCATATATTAGGATCCGGATTGAGAGGCCTCCCTACCTCTCCACACATTTCCCCCTGTGCCAATTTTCCTTCCTTCCTACTACCCCTCTCACTCCTCTCAATCCCCTGTTGATTAGCATTAGCAATTATAGGCCTATTTGTGAACTCCAAACCCCCGGTCTTTGTCAGCTGCCCCTTCCTACCAAGGCTCTGGCCTTGCTGTGATGTACTTCCCTGACCCACCTTAGATTTCCTTTCCTCTGGCTTGCCCTTATATTCTCCCTCCCCCTGTTGCAAGTTCTCTAGATTCACCTCCCTTAGTTCCATAATCTCCTTTCCTTTTTCTAACACTGATATCTTCCCATTCCCTTCACTCTGGGGGTGTATCTTCCACCTTCTGTTTCCAAACTGGTTTCATAGGGGTTTTACAGTGGAGCTTTGTATGGTCATATCCTTTACACTGATTGCATAGTACCGGTTTCCATTCGTATACCAACTTCTGTTCTTGCAATTTTCCTTCCTCATCCACAAATATGATCTTCTCCGTCAAGGTCTCCTTTATTTCCATCTCAACCAAAACTCTGGCAAAGTTAGCTCGCATCTTATTACAAGTCATCTCATCCATCCGTTTTGGTTTCACAACCATACTCAGCATCTTGCTCAGAGTTTTAGAGCTCCAATACTTAAGCTCTAAGTCTGGTAACTGTATCCATACAGGAACACTAAAGATGTCTCCACCTTTGAATCCTCTCTTCACATTCCACTCCTTGACTATGAGAGGCTTCCCAAAAAAACGCTGCTCTGATGATAAGGCCATCTTCTTAGCCATTTCATTCTTCAGATGAACCAGATAATACCCTTCCTCCCTTCTCAATATTTTCTCTATGCCAAATTTCCCCCATATGCGATGGATAAATCTAGACATCACCTGATATGGTAACTGTATCCCTAGAATATAACAGGCAAGTTCTTCCAATATTCTACCTCACTTTCAACATCATCCAACCATTTGTTGATTCTCCATAAGGATTGGTTCAATGAATTCAAGCTCCAGCCCCATAGATTTAACTTTCCCTAAGTCAAACTCCACCCATCTCGCATTACCCCTTTTATCCATTTCCTCAGCCCGAACTCTAGGGTTACCCGTTTTCCCCAAATTAGTACCAATCTCAGTTTTATCTCTTACTTCACTATCACTCACAAGAGGAGAATTAACAGGACTTACATGTTTAATCCCACTACTGGACGCACCCTTAGCCATTGACACGACCGCTACCGTTTCAATCCTATTAACCGTCGTACCCTACTTCACCGCCGATTTATGTTCTTCCTGTACATCCCGTCCTTGAACGATCTCTTCCTTTTGACCTAAACTCTGTTTCTGACTCTCATTTTTGCTAGGTTTGGCTACTTCTTTCGTCAAATTAACGCCTCGACCCCGCCTTTTGGCCTTAGCTGGCATCGTGAAATGCCTAGAGAGAAGGAGGAGAAAAAGCTGACGTAAGCATTCTAGAGAGATTTTGGGCTCATGATTAAAGCAAAATAACTTTATCTAAATCCACCTTTCTTGCGGATTTCAAGTCCCTATTCTGAGGGTCGTTGGTTACCCAATTGGACGAAGTCATTGACATAAGCGCAAGTCTAAAGAACCAGCTTCCAATTAATAAACGAAAACATTATTCTTTTCTCATAGATAGACTTTCTGAATACTTCATTAAATTATACTCTTTACACTAAGTTGTTTTGACATTTGAAAAATCAAAAGATCCCTTGATTAGTCGTCTTGATATGAACAACCTACACGTCGGGAATTGAGTGAAGCTCTCTCTGTTATTTGTTGCTTTGGTCAAAGGAATAATAAAATCATGCTATTCATGTAAATAATACCATCTAACATTATTCTAACAAAATCATGCTATTCATTAAACGAAATGGAGAAGAAATTCAATTCATTTCTCTTCTCCATCATCTTTTTCGTTTCCAAACTATTCGTCCCACCACCACCACCAACCATGGCGGCTGCAGCCGCCAAGAAAAATAATACAGTTGCCATAAATGTTGGAGTGGTTTTAGACATGGATATATTCGGGCAGGTGGCATTAAGTTGCATATCGATGGCTCTTTTGGACTTCTATGTGTCCCATGATCATTACAAAACTCAAGTTGTCTTAAATGTTAGAGACTCCAAGGAAGACGTGCTTGTTGCTGCTCTACAGGTTAGAAACTCTCTTTTTTTAAAAAAAAATAAAACAATGGATGATCCGAACGAAAATCAAACTCTTAACCTTCTCGTAGTATCATAAAAGCTTGTATTTGATTAGCTCTATAGTTTTCTTTTCCTTTTAAGTTTAAAGAGATCGGTTATGATGGAAGGCAAAATTTGTGGATTGATATTGCTCGTAGAACGACATAAATTATATAATGAAATATAAGAACTTCATGTTGTTTTTGTATTTCCTTTTTTTTTTCAACTAAAATGCAACTGCATGGTGGTGGTCTGTGATCCCCATATTAGATTATCAGTCAACATTTCTTTGCCCATCTGAGTAGCTCTTTGAATTCAAATCTTCTAAATTCTTAAGAGAAGGACCATAAAAAGAAAGAGTAGAGAAATTAGCATGACTTTCATGTATGTTTGGATATCTGTGTGTGCTGCACCATCGGTATTTCATTACCGAGTTATGTTATTTTACTATAAAGGCTTTGCAATTTTATGACTTTTGGTTATGATATAATTATTTTCTGAGATCAAATTATTTGTAACTGAAACATGATATCCTTTCCTAACAAAATCTTAATTATGTGTCATGCATCATTATAAACCTATTATATGGTGAGATAATTAACGCTTCTCATCCTGGTGCAAAGAATAAGTGTGTCATGGTAGCGGGAATCCAAGATCCCATACTGTAACTATTAATTATAGTATTACATAAATGAGAAAATACATACTAGAAAAATGAAGAAGTGGGTTAATAATATAAGCATGTTAATGTCAAATCTATTGTCCAAGATATCACATAAACAAACAATTGATTATTGAATAAAGCAACCAGCCTTCGACGGAACAAATCTTTTTGTCTAGATGATCAAGAAAGGATAGTTGGAAAAGTCATCATGCTAATTAATACTTAAAAATAACAATTGCTACAACTTTATAGGATGGTGTAAGGTACTACAACATCCCAACGTTTCCAATGACATACTCAAACCATTATCTCATTTTCTCATTCATAACTGTTATCCTCACTTTCTTAATTTCCTTTATTTTCTTAATTTATTTTTAAGAAAAACTTTCAATTCCATTAATAAATAACCCTCACCCCACTCTTCGCACCAACAATCTCCCAAAAACCCACTCGTAATCTTCTCACCAAGCTATTGTGGCTCTTTTCCATTGTCCTCAATTCCTTTCTAATACATCTATCCTTGAAGAAAACGTAGTGATATCTTCAAACTACTTGACCTTTTTGATTTACAAATAAGTGAAGACTTCGTAGGTTGCCTTCATAAATTGTCGACAACATTTGAGTTTAGGCCATTTGTTCATATTTTGTGAAAGAACAGATTACTTAATATTTTGTCGAGGAATAAATATATTACTCGATAGTATTTCGAAAACCTAAACTCCTAACCGGATATCAGTTCTCCTATTTATCTCGGTCTATTGAATGACAAAATATATAGTTACTCCTCATGTCAGTGTTATTAATCTCGGACTGGAGCTCGACTCGGCAAGGTCAGCGGGTTGAGCGACTCGGGTGTCGACTCGGGGCGAATCGGAGTGTCAACTCGAATGATATCATAATGACGTAATAAAAAATAATTAATTAATAATTATATTTTGATTAAACTTTTATGAATTATATATATATATATATATATCATTTGTAAAAGTCAAATTAGTACTTTATAACTTTCAAATGGGTTTCGTTGCACAATGTTGAACTTGAAAAGTCAATTAAGATGATATCCTTATTATTAAATAAAAAATATTTACTTATTTAATATATTAAAATAAAAAACTTAAACTTTATATTTTTTCATAGTAATAGTTGATTTTTATATTTTTTGTATTAGTTAATTATAGTTTTTTTTTTAATAATTGAAAGGTTGGGACGATGTTCAGGTTTCAACTGACACAAAAATACTCAAGGGGTACCCAGGAGATATGTTTTGCGCTAGTCAGTGCTAGATGATATAATGCACCAAGGGATATACCCGAAAGATGGACATATATACCATCTAGTTCCCTAGTTTCATCCCTTCCCGTTTATTAAAATATCATTAAAAAAGGACCTGGCAATGCATAAAACTTACTAGTATACAATTATGGGAAACAAATTTAAAAGCACACCTAGAATACATTACATATGAAAGAAAAACTATCGACGAGTCCTGACGTATGGAAAGGACTGTTGATCTAGCAATACTAACCCCCTTGAATCAGAGGGGAGACTAGCTAAATCATGAAAGATGTGCGAGTTGCCCGAAGATACCAATCTAGTTAGACTATCCGCAACCAAACTTGTTTCCCAATATACGTGCAAAACCTTATATCCCCGTTTCCGAATGATGTCAGCTATTTTTCCTAATTGAAAATGCGCTTGCCAAGGAAGAATGAACTCCTTGTTAAGCATATCAGCTAGCATGAGATTATCTGTCTGAATCTCCACCTCCATCAAACCTAGAGCATCACATTTTCGAATTCCAAAAAGGAGTCCCACCACTTCAGCCATGAAACTATTTGTAAAACCAAGATAGCCAGCCTCGCCATAAATTAACTCTCCAAATCCCTTCGGATGACAAAGTCATAACCAGAGTCTGTAGCATTAGCCGATCCATCAGTATTTAGAGCAAATTTTCCAATCTTAATATGCTTCCATTTAACAATCATGTTTTGCCTCCTTCCTTTTTCGAAGATGGCAATTCGAAAAATGCTCTCTAGCAACTCTTTCTCCATGCAATTAGCAGCCCTTGGATAGTGTACTATCAACATGGATTGTAAATGCTCAAAGATCACGTTGCAAACTATTTGAACAGGGATCAAATTTCCATAAAAAATCACCTTATTCCTTCTCTTCCAAATCTCCCACAATATGAATAAAGGAGCCACCATTATAATTGCCTTCTTTGCCGACTTGAAATTCCCTACTATCTACCAAGTTTGCACCATATACCAAATTGTGTGAATCGTCGGCAAAGAAACCTCCAACAATCAGGCAAAATGCTTCCATACAAACTGCGCCTCCTCGCATTGCAAAAAAAATGTGATGAATCGTTTCTTCTTCCTTATGACAAAGGAGACAAATTGAAGGCTGAACAAGTATTCCAAGGCTACAGATTGCATCCGCAGTTGGCAAAAGTTTGTTCAATAATTTCCAAAAAAAGAAGGAGAAGCGCGTTGGAATGTATCGATGCCAAGCATTACGCAAAGAACCTTTCACAGGTTGGTGTGATTGCAACACTTCATGTGCCGATTTAATAGAAAACAACTCTGATGGTTCCGAAGTCCAAACTATCTTATCTCGCCCCTCTACAAAAGGTTGATCCATTTCAGTAAGAGAGATTAAGACTTCTTGCTCAACATGGCCTTGAAATTCAAACAAAAATGTTTCCTTTTTCCTCAAAAAAATCCTTTATAGAAAGAGATGGTCTTGGCGGAGCCTCATTATGGATATACCAAATAACCCCTAAGGTCGACAAATTATCATGCCAAAAACTTCTTTCACCATTATACACAATTATCGTGTGAGATGTAGCAGCAAAATTAATTTTACGAACACAATTCCAAGAAGTCTTTTTGCAAGCTGACGAAGATAATGAAAGCAAAAACTTTGCCCACAAACCCTTTTGATTCTGTATTTCCCACAAGAGTTTTGCAGAAAAGGCTTTAACAACATCTCCAAATTTCTGTATACCTAAGCCATTTTCCACTATTGGAATAGCCAATCGCTCCCAAGATCGCCAATGTCGCTTGCCATCACCCGAACCTTGCCAAAGGAATTTTTGACACCGATTCTCCAATGCTTCCAAAACTAATTTTGGCGGCTCTAAAGCAGCAAAAGCATGTATTGGAATCACCAATAAAACATGCTTTATAAGAATAAGCCTTCAAAGAGGTCACCAGATTATGCCGTTGTTTCCTCTGGGGGATCAAAGATACGGGGAGAAGCTCAGCTCTGGTTAGCTGGGACAGAGTTTGTAGAAGAAAGAAGGAGAGGGGTTTAAATATCAGAGATGTTCAATCTTGGAATGAGGCAGTCTTAATCAAGTATGGTGTATTGCAAAAAATGAGGACAACTTGTGGATAAAGTGGATTCATGAGCATTATATAAAGCAGCAAAATTTCTGGCAATTGTAACCAAAGCAGAGCTCTTGGTGGCATTGGAGAAGACTACTTCAAATCAAGGAGAAAGTCAAGAATGAGTTTGAAGGGGGGAGATGGAAGCATACTGCCTCTAGTAAGAATCGTTGCTCTCTTATGCAGTAAACCTCAAATTCTCTACTTAAACAAACGCAAGTTGGAACTGAAGCGTATGAGAATGTCATTAATTCAGCTAAATGACCCCGAAAGAATTTGGTTCTTTACTCTGAAATAATCGCCGTCCGTAGGTAAATAACAGCCTCATTAATAACCCCAAAAGAATATGATTCTTTATAGTCTGCAAATGCAAATAAAGCCATCCACTTTGGGTCCAAATTGGGAACCCCAGAAAGCTCATTCAATATTGAAGCTAAAAAACTACTTGCGATTAATTACCAGCCTATTCATCAAATTATTAAGTGAGAACACACAAAACAACACACAAGAGTTTGGGGAAAATCAAACCTGGATTTGGGGGGATTTTTCTCTTCAAAGAAATCTTGCATGGCTTTCTATTTGGAGGAATCGTTGCTCTGCTATAGAGTATTGACTATTGAACAAAGGGCAGTAAGGATATTTTGCGGAGGAGAAAGCCCCAAACTGGCACCGATGGCAGCTTAAAAGTGAAACACGTAGCAATACCCTGAGAGAAGACATAACTGGAAGTTTCCCTTTCATGTGGGGACAGGAGCGAAGAACAAATGACACCTCAACATTTTTCGACGGAAAACCGGGTGTAAACAGGCTCACCCTCCTGGATCCGCTCTTTCTTATATGTTATAGATATTAATAAAATAAGGATCCTCCCACCATGTACCGCCCCTAGATTTCCCTTACAAAAGAAAAAAAAAGGTTCTCTAAACTTATAGTTGTAGCCATACACTATTATTATGATAAAATGTGGGAAGTTGTTGATAATGGTTTATTTGTTACATAAAAGTATCACAATTAACTCTGAATTTAGTAAGAAATTGGGGGTATTTCCTAGTATTAGTGCATTTCACTTAACTAGTCTTTGTGTTTTTATTAAGTTAGGACTTGATTGA